ATATTATTTGTTGTGTTATCAAACACAATTCTCATTTTCAGTATAATAGCCCAACTTAAATAATTAGTAAATCAAGTGTAATTAATTAATTAAGCATGTTTTACTGAGAGAAATTAAGTATAATGCTTAATTAAATGAATCTGAGTCACTTTGGAGTTAAAAAGTGTACTCAGTGAAAATTAAGGGGCATAGATGGGTGTAGGCAAAAGTACCCAAAATATAAAAATAAAAATAGTAATATTCCTAGAATAATATTCCAGACTTTTGGGTAAAGTTTGGTAATTATTGGAGTTGAATAGATAGACGAACCAATACCCGCTTAAAGCCACTTAACCTATGTTAAGTGACTAAAAGCCAAAAGAGCCCCAAACCCCCCCCATTTTCCCCGTCGAGCCAGCTTCAGAGAAGAGAAAGAAAGGAAGAAGAAGGAGAGGGGGGAAAGGGAGGAAGAGAGAGAGGAAGAGCAATCCTCCACCGATTGGAGTGATTCAAAAGCCTAAACCACTCTAAATCTTCCCCTCTTTCATAATCCAAGCTTAGTTCTTAGTGGGGAGCTTTGTGGAGAGAGATTTCGGCTCTCAAAAATTCGACCATTTGAGAGATTTTGGGGTTTTGGGAAGTTCTACCTCCATGGGAGCTTGAGGAACGCTCCTTCCTTGGTTGTGTGACCATTGGTGGTAAGATTCTAACCCTTGAACCCCATGATTCCTTGAAATTTGCATGAGTTAGGGTTTATGAATAGTGAATTGGGGTTTTTGATGAAATGTTGTTAAAATTAGCTATGTTCTAGGAAGAATGGAGCTTAGAGCATGTTATGGAAAATGCTAAGAATGTCATTTAATCGGTGAAAATGAGCTTAGATAGCTAAATGATTATATTTGGAAAATGGCAAAAATATGACACTTAGATATTGGATTTCTTGCATTGTTGATAAATGGTATGGCTTGGTTGATTGATGATTGTGTCCTAATGATGTCTAGGATTGAGACATTTGGACCGACCGTGAGTGATCAACCGCTTGAGCAAGCTATGGAGCTTGAGTAGCTCATTGGAATTGGTAAGCTCATACTTGGGTTGTGTTTTGAATTGAGTAGTTGATGGTTGATGGTGAAATACTCTTGGATGCAATGTGTTGATTGCATTACTCCATGTGTAGGTGTTGGTTTTGGAGTAGAGTATTGTTGACATTGGGGGTGAACTAAGGTTGAACGGAAGCTTGAGGTAAGCCTTCAGACCTTGAGTGTAATTCCCTTGACTGTTCTACCAAGCCCTGAAAAGGTAGAGGTTATGATTGTGTATATAAATGCAATAAAATAGTGTAATGCTTTGTTATACTTATGTGTATGCATTTGGTGTGGCATAGGATGGTGTTTCCCTATGTTGGTATGTTGCATGACGATGCGTAAATCATACTTGGTAGTTAGCTGGCCAGTAGGACTATTTGCATCTGAGTTTCCTTAGGACAGCTTGAGAGCTCGAGAGATTTCTCCTGGAGATGTATTGCACTTTGCATAGATATGTATTGACTGCATTATTATTGTTATTGCTATTACACTGATATGGAACTGTGGGGTGGAGAGATGCTCCAAGGACCCCTGGTTTACTGGATATATTCGTATATCTCACCCCGTGTTGTGGGGACCCCCTTTCAGGTAAGGATGCTGCAGGAGCCTCTGGTGGCAAGTGGCCATATCTGGATTAGCATATGCATGAAATGTGGCATTTCTTTTGAGATTATACATGTTGTTTTGTAGCTCACATGTATAGAATTGTAATTAATAGGCAATGCTAGATTTATGATTTGTATATTGGAATGGACTTAGCCTATGCTCATGCCTTTGGTCATCTCTTTTGTTGATGGGAGCCAAGGGAATGGTCATAGTGTTTTGTAAGCTAAGTTCCATGATTCGTAATGAATATGTACTGTAAATGATGCCTACATGGAATTCAATATATGCATGCTTGTTATGTATTGAGTTATTGAATTGGTTGGGCTGAGAATCAATTAGGTACCTTTTGTTTAAATTGGGAAACGTTGAGAAAACAAAGGTTATGCTGCCCAAATTCTAGCTAAGTCTCATGAGGAGAGGTTGGATGAGTGCTAGGATTTAGTTTTTGAGGTATGAACCATTGGGGTTTGGAGGGGGGATGCATCTTCCCCTAGAATTGGACTTGAAAAATGTGGGAATTGGAATTCCCTGGCAGCGCGCTTAAGCGCCCAGGAGCGCGCTCAAGCGCCCTGCTGCCCCTGTGAGTGCCAATGCATTCGGCCTCCTCGCGCTGGAGCGCCCAAAGTGGGGGCTTAAGCGCCCAGGATTGCGCGCTGGAGCGCCCTGGCTTGCGCTTAAGCGCCCTTCGCTGCAGAAAGATGGAATGCTTACTATCCCCTCGAGTTTTAGCGCCCAGGGTTGCGCGCTTGAGCGCGCTGGTCCGCGCTTGAGCGCCCTTAGCCACTGAAGGAGGAGATGCTTCTGTCTCTGCGCGCTAAAACGTCCCAATGGGAGCTTAAGCGCCCAGGATAGCGCGCTTGAGCACCCTGATGCGCGCTTAAGCGCCCATTTACACTGAAATACCTGATGCTTCCTGCCTCTGTGCGCTTAAGCGCCCAGATGGAGGCTGTAGCGCCCGATAACGCGCGCTTGAGCGCCCGGTAGCGCGCTGAAGCGCGCGGGGCCTGTGACCAACACTCTCTTGTGTTGCTTCAAATTGTCATAACTTGGGCTACAGTGCTCCGATTTGAGCGCGGTTTGAAGCCACGCGTAGCTAATGAAGAGATCTACAATATAGTAGAAGTTGTGAAATAAATAGGAAGTAAATTAATGGTTTAAAAATGGAATAAGAACATGATGTTAAGCTTAATTTATCTGATTCCGCAAGGTAATATGGTTATGATCACGGAATTGGGTATTATAAGTTCGGTATGTTTTAAAATGAAAAATTTATCCGGATTTTAATTGAACCCATGTGATTGTAACTGCGCTTAATATCATAATGCGATGTTAACAAACCAGTTCTAGAACGGGGTGTTACATTCAGAATAAAAATAGAACATGTTATCAATTTTTTTTTTCCAAAGCACAGAAATATAAAAGAATTGTTTCTTTTCAGAAACAGTGCTATGAAATAGAATGGTTGTCATGCACAAACTGGCTATGATTAAAAATCTAATCCAAAATCAATTCTTGATTAATTCTAAAAAATCGGACGATTTGATACAATTTGTCAAGCCAGCAATTCGTTCATATACATGAATAGATGCGATTCCATATGACTTGAGACTTGGGATGGAGGTTTTGATATCAATTAATATGAATTTTGAGAGAATCACACCCTAAAAGTTTGCTCATGAGATAGAAGAGTTTAAAGTCGATATAAATCCTACATTAGTCAATCATATAACCAATGTGAAACTCAAATCTTATACCTTATAATTAGATCGTAACACCATATCACCAATATGGTTCAACAATTCATTTATTTTTTTCATCAATTCTCGCAAAAGAAATTAAAAAGGCAAATAATTTTTTGTTGTTAAAGCAAAAGAAATGATGTTGAATGTACCTATTTGATTATTTCACCATTCGTCTGAAATCGGGGTTCGCACACTCACTCACTCTATGCATCCTATTCGCTATAATATTGCTCTGTTTTCATTCTTGTGAAAAGGAGGCCTATGCATTCATTTTATGAATCAATCTTGACTTATGACTTATAGTTTTATTTTCTTAGACTTACGTTACGTCTAAGTTAATTTGTCGATTTCCTATTTAAAATTATTACACTGTGCATTATATACCATTTATATGATATATTTCAAGCTATTTTTTAGTATGTCTTTAAATCTTAGTATTGAATTGTGATTCTATCTATACCCTTAAAATTAGTAAAGAAGGATATCGTAATTAAAATATTAGTGAAGAAACATGTTTAATTTGAAGAAAAAAATGTTAGGGAAGAAACATTTTTGAGTTGAAAAACTATTTATTTCCCAAACCAAACAAATTGGCTTAAATCGTAGGAGAATATTATTTTCATGTTATATAAGAAAAAAATTATCTTATGCACTCAAAAATTATAGAAGAGAAAAAAAATAGAGTGGGTTTCACCTTTAATTTGTGAGTGGATCAGATAATTTTTCCCTCATGTAACGTTAATATTCCCTTAATTCTTAAAAGCCATTGAAATGTTAAATTTCAAGTTTGAGGGCCAAAAAAAATATTCCTTTATAATATTGACTTGGAAAAGGAAAAGAAGGTGGAAACTTCTATTTGTAGGTGGGGTTGATGGGTATTGGGTAGCCTTAGTTTGATATTTGATATGTATGCTTCTTTAATACGTACCAAGTTATCATGAACATGCCATGTAAGGACGCACACATGATTCTCCGGAACCTGAAGTTTGTTAGAAAATAAAACAAGTCCTGATCTGTCTCCTTTCCCTGAAGCCTCTGATTTGTTGCCACTCCCAAATTCCCATCACATTTTGCTTGTCAATTGTATTTCCACTTTTTTTTTCCAATGCTATTTTCTCAAAGCTTCAAGCTTTCACCTTCAATGCTTGCCAAATTCCAATTTTCATTAATACCCTTTTGAAAATTTCCAATTTTTCTAGCTCTTTGGTATGCTATTTCAATTATTCACAGCCCCATTTATGATTTCTTTGATTTGGCACCTATTTGGTTTGTCTCATAGCAGAAGTTACCATTGGCTCCTTCTTGAATGCCCAAAATTAAGAGGAGAAAGATTTATTATGATATGTAAGATTTATTTTCAAAAAAGTGTTTCTTTTCAAACCTTATATGCTATGCCAATGCCATTACAATCTCTTAGGCATCGTTTATGTTTATTCATTTTGTTTTTGTGAATGCTATGTGCAAGATGATCAGATTTAATATGTGCAATGGCTTGTATCATCATGCAGAGAAGCAACTTACATATATGGATGGTCATAGATTGTAGAACCGTTTCATCATTTTGGGTTTCAGATATTGGAAGCTAGAGATGTCTATTCAGCATGAAAATTCTGATATAAAAGATGGATCAGGTTAGAGCTTTTCATCCCTTTTTTTTTCTCCTCCTTCCCCCTCCTTCAAAATAATAGAATGACTGATTTTTATACACAAGAAGAATAGATTCATTCATATAGTAGAATCGTTTCATTCACCTTTTCCTTTTCCCCCTGTATGTTTTTGTGAAAAATCTTTTATGACAGACCACTTGAAAGGTGAGAAGGGATAATGCAAATCCCTTTACTTTAAGGAATGAGAAATCATAGTATAGATCAAGGGTTTTATAAGAGTTATGTTATAAGAAAAGTGATTGTGTAATGTTATAGAGATTCGTTTTGCGTGCTTAGTTTTTTTTTTTTTTTTTTTTGCTTTAGAAAGTGTGGGCTCCACAAAATGTTGAGTGTGTAGGAAAGTTGTTGGTGTCATGTGACATGATAGATGTAAATTCCATAGATCAAACTGCCAAATCGAAAAAATTGGGTGCTATCATATAGCTTTATATCGGCTAAGTTCACGAGTTGGAGATAAGCGGATTCGAACCGCGCAACCGTGAATTACATGATATGATGAAAGAATTTCTGACAGTAGAGGATCAAAGTTCCTCAACTCCACGACTTTATTTATTATACTGAAAGAAGATTATCTGCAGATGCAGTGTTTATGTCTTAGTTTGCCTCCATCAGTAGAATTCAGCCTTAGTTATTATCTTCTTGAAAGGAAACTTAATCCCATTGGTCTCTTTACTTGATTAGTTTCAACTGATATCTTATTCCTTTCCCTTATATTTACCAATTAATAGGTCCACAGAAAAGGCTAACAAATCTTATGCATCAAGCTGGGAACCATTTTTGTGCTGATTGTGGAACTCCAGAGCCAAAATGGGTGTAAGTATTAACCTGATTTGCATTGGAATTCGGTCTGTTTGGATTGTTCACTATTGATGATGTTTAAATAACATTGTCATCAATCATAAATTGAGTGTTGTTTCAGTGTCTGTCCAGAAAAGAAAAGAAAAAAAGAACCTATCCTTCATTTTCTAAGCTAACCCCAAAAGATAAACATGCTTTTCTGTTGAGGTTATTTACACTTGACTAGTAACAACAATTTCAACTTGTTTGTCTCTATACATGGTTCCTATCTTGGTGAACCAGGTAAACTTTCCTGTTTCACCTCTTCTAAGTTTTACATTTTTTATTGTATAATTTACTTCTTTGGGCCTAACATCTAGATGTGCATAAGATACATCTTGGGAAAGAAAAGAAAAAAAAAATGAAGGTAGGGGGTGATAGACCAAGTGTGTTTGATGAAACAAAAAATCCGAACTTTTAATGTTTAAAATGTTCATTTTAATTGCAGAAGATGAAGAAGGAAACTATTGGCACTTGATAAAATTATGCGGATAGCTCTTTTCCTTAACCCCCTTTGTATTTGAGTGAATTTTCTTTTTTTAATAAATATTGGGTAACACTTTTACTACTTTGTGTGAGGTTTTTTTTATCTTACTTCCAAGGTGGTACCAGAACTGATATCATGATGATAGTCCTTTGAGCTTTGGCCGATATCACGATATGTGGCTTGGTTGTTGTTAATTATGTATATCTAGATTACCTGAAGAATTGACTTTGCTTTTTCACTATTTAGTTCATTTGTTGGGATGATTTGTGCAATAATTGCTCAAGAATTTTTGAAGATGTGGAGTATTATATTCAGAGTACAATGATAAGTTAATCTTATTAAAAAATCATTAGCTCATATTATTCATACTTTTTTTGATTCATTACATTTGTTGAACATCAGATCTTCAAGTCTTGGAGTATTTATTTGCATCAAGTGTTCTGGCATACATAGAAGTCTAGGAGTCCACATATCAAAGGTATGTTTCCAACATAGTTTATACACGACCTTGTCAATGACAGCTTAATTGTCTTTATGTCAGTATCATTAAGCTTTCTGAGGCTATATTCCTTCTTTAGCAAATAAGAATTTTCACATGAACCATGTATTTAAATTTTTTGCAGGAAATATATTTATGCTAGCATTAAAAGAATTTTGTTAAAATTGCTCTCTTTAAACTTATATCAGTGTAGGCTCTGTTGTACTCTTATAATCTTTAGTACAAGTGAAGTTATGGGAATTTACTCATTACAAAAGCGATTTAACATATCTTGTATTTCAGACATTCTTAAGTTATAACTAGTGACACACTTCTATAGGCTCCGTCACTTCTTTCTTGCTCCTTCCCTCTTTTTCTGTAAGCTTACTTACATTCCATGTTTATCTAAAAGTGAGCTCATCATTAATCATTAGCAATTGTGAAAATATTTATCTGACATCACATGGGAAATGTATCCTCTCATGTGTTATTTAACATGATCATGTCATGTGAAAGAATCTTAATCATCAATGAACAAATCAACATTGATAATTTTGTAACTTCCTATCCCAATATTTTTTTTTTCCTCTTCCGTTATCACTATTGATTCACCCTTGTATGATTAGGATTCTCCCACATGACATGATCATATTAAATAACGCATGAGAGGATCCACTCGCCATCACATGATATATTAGTAAGATAAAATGCTTGCTAGATGGAAAAAGGTCATAAATTAAGATTTCTAGTAATTAAGTAAATTCCATGTAGAAGGCGCTCAGATTCTATCCAATTAATGAACACATGCCATCCTAAACTACTACCAAGGATAAATAGACAAAATGATAAATAAAATTTGGTAGCTTAGAACTAAGCACTAAACAGAAAGCCAATGTGAATACTGCCTATTCTTGACAATTTTTTAATCAAAATCAGTACTTAGTCATTGCTACGTAACCACTCCATTTTATACTTCATTTGTTTTCTATTGTGGTGGGAGGGGAATACTGAATGGCCCTTGTCCCCACTTCATCCCCCATCCACATAGGTTATTTGTGCTTATATGCATTCACTGGCACATCTTCAAAATGAAATTCTAACATTATTTAAAACTATTACAGGTTCTATCACTGAAGCTAGATGAATGGACAGATGAACAAGTTGATGCATTAGTGAAGTTAGGTGGAAATACATTATTAAATAAGAAGTATGAAGCTTGCCTCCCAAGTAATGTAAAAAAACCAAAACCATATTCCTCCATCGAGGAGCGCTCTGATTTCATTAGGTAACTAAAAGGGAACATAATTCATATTTTTTGTGGAGGAATTACACCATTTTGATTCAGAAATGTATTTCTCATTTTTCAGGAGAAAATATGAGCTGCAACAATTTATGGAAAGTGATGACAATTCTTCATGCTCCATTGTACAATATCAAGGAAGAAGAAGTACATCATTGCCTCCGAGCAGTTCTTCATGTTACAATTCTCATATGGACAAGAAACAATATGAAAAACACCCAACCAAACATCATCGTATTGGACATGCCTTCCGAAATAGCCGGACAAGAAAAGATTCTGAGCACAAGTCTTCAAAGAAGAGTAACTCATTGGTAATGTTTTGTTTGATTAATACCAGTTCTATCAGCCATCTGTCAAATGAATTGATCCACTCCTTTAGGAGTCTGTTAAAGCAACAAAGTAGAGACATGTTTTACTGAAAAGAAGAATCTAAATTTGTTTGGTATGATTAGTGTTTTTGAGAACAGACAATAATTATATACAGGGTATGCGATATGTCAAAAAGCATAACCTTTAGGTGAGAGTCAATTGTATGCAATCTTACCCTTGTATATTTTTGCAAAGAGGCTATTTCCCATACACGAACTTGTGATCTTCTGGTCACATAGAGTAACTTACCATTGCTTCAAGACTTGCCCTCAACCTTTACCTTTACAAGACTAATTTTTCAGGAATTGCTTCATTAGGTTTTTAGTACATATTTACCCTATGTGCTTTTGACTGACTTATTAAGAAGCAGCTGAGAATCAAAGCATTATTATAATGGAAGCATACTGTTCTGAATAGATAAAAGGGGAAATGATAGTTATTGAAATGTTGAATTTTTTTTTCTGAATACTTAATCTTTTTGCTCCCATTTACTGCTATAGGCAGGTATGGTTGAATTTGTTGGGTTGATCAAGGTTAATGTCGTTAGAGGCACTCGTCTGGCAGTTCGAGATGTAATGACCAGCGACCCTTATGTCATCCTTTCTTTGGGACACCAAGTGAGCATCTTCATATCTGAACTACTTGAAAATATAGATGGAATATAGAAAATAAAACATTTTCAATGTAACACTTTTGATATCTGTTCTTGCAGTCAGTAAAAACACGGTACATAAAGAACAATTTGAATCCAGTCTGGAATGAAAGCCTAATGCTATCAATTCCAGAGAACATTCCTCCTCTTAAAGTGGTAAGTTCAATTCCTGTAAATCATGAAAGGGATGATATTGGTGTTCTGGTACCGTAGTAGTACTTGATCCAAAAAAATTATTAGTGACAACCTCATGAATGCAGAAAATGATTTGAAACTTTGGGTGAGGTTATTTTCGTAATTGATCATTTCAAAATTGCGGCAACACTCAATGTCCATTCATTGTCATTTCCCTCTAAACTTGAAATTAGGCTTCAGATTTATAAGATTAACTTATTAAACTATACTATTACGAAGAAAAATATGTTGCATTTAAGATGACTTAAAAGGGATAACAGCTGAAATTGAAAACATCGCAGTTTTGGACTTCTGTCAAGAACTATTTAATTACAAAGTATACAATCAGATAAATATAGGATCTATTTCCTTAATTAGAAGATACTATTCAAGAGGGCAAGTTTTGGTTTGTTTTTTGGCTGCATAAAATAGACCCTCACCCCTTCACTCGCATTGTCAGGGTGCCTTTTTGTCTTTAGAAGATAGTATTCAACAACAATATTGTTTGTATACCATTTTCTGTGCCAACAATGTTTGATTAGATTTACTGGGGTGCATGCAGCTTGTGTATGATAAGGATACATTTTCAACTGATGATTTTATGGGTGAAGCTGAAATAGACATTCAACCTCTAGTTTTAGCCGCAAGGGCCTATGAGAAATCTACAATAAATGAGCCTATGCAGCTTGGGAAATTTTTAGCAAGCAATGACAACACTCTTGTTAGAGATGGTATCATATCCCTTGATGAAGGCAAGATCAAACAGGAAATCTCAGTGAGGTTACAGAATGTTGAGAGAGGTGTGCTGGAGATTGAGCTTGAGTGTGTTCCTCTTACTCAATAGCTAAGGGTCAATACTCAGTTCAACACACATTTGGAGGATGCATCATAAGAATATCTGTTCCAAGATTGTCCTGTCTTTTTCTTTCTTGTACATCACTATTCTGTGACCTGTGGTGTGGGGACTAATCCTCTACCAATGTGTCTTTTTTTCTTCCTAGGTACTGGTATCTTAAGGAGTTAACTCAGTTTGCTAATTATACTTGATAAGCTTCAAACATGTATTTTGAGAACCTTGACAACTTATTAAGGATACCAGCAACAAGGAAAAACACATAATGTAACAACTTCAATGAAGAATTATAACTTTTTTGTAAGTGTTTTTGGGAGAAGGTTTATCCATAAATTTCCACATTTATTAAGATTATCTTAATAAGCACTGTTCCATCTTTAACTTGATGTTAGTTTAACTTAGCATTCCATCATGAACCTTATTATGGCCATAGTTCAAAATGTGGGAATTCGAGTATTGGCATCTTATTATCTTTAAGAAAGTTATTCTACACAAACGCTCTTCTTTTTATAGAAAAAGGATCCATTAAAGTATTAACCTTTTAATGTAGTTATGCATTCTTGAAAATTTGAAATCTATCCAGCGATTTCTCAGTAATATCTATATAAGATTTTATGGGGTTCAGTGAGACTGAGACTGTTCATACTGTTTCGTATCTCCGGGGAGGGAATGAGAAAAAATAATACATAAGGTTAGAAAGAAAGACATATTATATTGTTAAAAGTAGAAGTGTAAATAGGCTAGTTTTTAGTTTAAATAATCTAGGCTCGTGTAAAATATCTTAGGCCTGACTTGACCTGTTAATCTTGTGTAGACTTAAATTATAAGACTGACGTGACCTATATTTAGAAAACAAAAGCATAGACCTAAGCCTGTTCAAGCTTATTAAACATTCAATAATTAAAAAAATAATTAAAATAATATTACTTTATTATTAAAAGTTATTAAAATAATAATTTTATTTATTTTATTTAAAATATATAATATGATATAGCCCGCTTGTAGGCTTATAGGCGCGATTTGTAAAAAAAGTTTACGGCTTACTTTTTAAATAGATTTTTTTAAAAGCTTAGGTATGTTCTATTTGACTATATATAATTGGTCAAGTCTGACCTGATATAAGTTAGACCGTAGACCGGCATAACCCATTTACACTCCCAGTTCAAAAGCCTTTTATGCTCAGAAAATAAATAAAAAACACATCTATTTACTGAAACTAAATTTTCAATTCAAATGGTTAGGATTAAAATAAGCCTTCAATTAAGGAGGAACGACTGAATGAGTTTTCACTATTTTTGTTCAACATAGAAAGTATGCTTACAGTCATTATTAGTTGATAGACATTATATTATGGGTCCGTCGCTTCTCATATGGCTACTGATGAGAAAAGTTACAGCAAATTTTTAACACTAGGATACATGTGCGGATCCAAGGATACACGTGCGGATTCTATAAAAAAAACAAAAAAAAACAAAAAAAAACCAAGATTCGGACGCGTATCCTGTGTTGCTGCAAGTTTTCCCTTCTGCAGTCACATAAGAAGTATTTTCCCCTTATATTATATATGAAGCCTATTTTGTTCCAAGAGCTAATGCAATTTCTAAATACTCAATTTTACTATGAAGCCTATTTTGTTCCTCATGTCTTTTGCTTCCATAATTTGTCATTTTTTTCTAGCATGAAAACAACCTCTCTCATAATCTCTTGCCTTATTCAAAGATTTACCTCTATTTTTTATTTTTTTAATTAGTTTTTAATTTTTGAATCGGAAAAAACGTTCTACGCTCCAACATTATTTCTGAGAAATTCATCTGGGTCATTTGTGATACCCAATGAAGTGAAAGCTGAATGTTGAGAGAACCTGAAAGTAAATGCCATCAATATATAGATTATTTGACGGTAGCAAAGTTAGAAATGATATGAGGACACACTCCTCTGAGAGGCTTAAGATAATCGTTATAGATCTCATAGAAGAAAATTGACTCTAAAATAAACAATGAATAATTTCTTTTTTCTTTTTTTTAAACTGATTCTAATTATCTCTTTGAGACGAATCAGAATTCCTGGTATTCACACGGGTTCGACTCTTTGAGCCGCCTATGGAACTAATCCAGAGTTCGGGTGCGATTTCAAGGATTACGGTACTTATACCCCTCCTCAGATGGTGTTGGTGAGATTCGAACCGAGGTCCTCTCCCACCACTCGGTCCCCAATGAATAATTTCATAAAAACAGTTTTCATGCAGGATGGCACCACTCTTTAAATTGTTTTAAATACTAGGAGAGTTATATTAATAATTTTATTTTTTTTACAAACTTACAAATTATACTATGTCTTACCGATAAGACTTCACTTAAGAGTGTTTCACCAATAAGATATAATATAATTTATAAGAATTTGTAAATATAACCTTCTTCTTTAAATGTATAGTAATTAAGGTTATGTTTGAATATTTTATCATAAGCAAAATGAAATGTTTCATAATAAAATGAAATAAAGTTTGGATAATTAATAAAATAAGATTAAAAACAGAATTATATAAGATCAACCAGACTTTCTAATATTTTAATATTTTTATTTTTTTAAATACAAAACGTATGTTATTTAAAAAATTTACAAGAATAATTTACTATTAAATCAAAGTTTTAATACATAAATGTGTTTTGTTATTGTACCAGAAAAAAAAGTGTTTTGTTAAGGAATATCTTAAAAGTACTAGTTAATAAGTATTTAGAAATTTTTATTAAATTCTTTTAATGAATTAAGCATCAAATTTTTTTTATGATTTCAATATAATAATAAAAAATTTATTTCTTTAATCACCGAAAGGCCCTACAAATAAATCAATAAATGTCGGTTATATTTAGTGCATCGATCATACATTTAGTGAAAGTTAACATTTATTGATGTTTGAAGTTCTTTGAATAACCAATGCCGAGTCTCTCCTTTTCACAATCTATCTGTTTCTTTCTCTTATTTCCTAGTTGCCGACAATTGAGAGATACAAAGTCATATTCAATAACATTTGATGACATTGGACTTCTAACTCGGGTGCCTTCAAGAAGATGATAAAGCCATCAAAATTGTTAGGTAAAGCAAGATCCTAACTTTACAATTACGAATTGATTAAATATTTAATTAGATAATTATTTATCTCTAGAAAATAAAAGCAATTGGCTTCCATTTAAGTGCTTGGCCCTCTCATGTATTAAAAAATAAATAACAATAAAAAAATAAATTTTGAACGTGTTGGAGGATTTATCCAAATTTCAGTCTACAACCATGATGCAACTGGAAAATGATAGTATTACTAACTTTTGGGTCTTGGTCCACTATATCAGCTTTTGAGTAGCTGCCAGCACCTCTGTCTTGACGTTAACTTGGAAATTGGAAAAGAACCTTGTACCAAAATCAAACATAGAAAGAGTAAAACCTTATATCAAAATTTATTTTGAATGAAATATTTTATATTTTTGCTTAGATGAATTATAAATTAAATTAAAAATATTATTTTTTAATTTTAGAGTTTAATATTTCTGCTTTTATTATAAAAAATATTTATTTGTCACACTCATGTAAAAGTAAATGGATCCTACTAATTTTTTTTCTCTCTTTTTTTTAACAATGAGATCCACTCACTTTTACGTGAGTGTGTTAGAGAAATTTTTTGTGCAATTAAGCATTTTTCTCTTAATTATATCACTTGAAGAGTTTTTTTTAATTAAATTTTGATATGCATATCCTTAGACCGAAAAAAATATATACACATATATCGACATGAATAGATGGTCAGAAAAAAGATAGCAGCAAGATTTCTGAGTTACAATGTCAAGACAAAATTTACGTTGTCCAGAGAAATCAACATTAACAAAGTAAGTCGCCAAATTAATAACAATCACGAAAAACCTATCTCAAATTACTATAACAGAGAACTAGAAGCAAAACTGGTGAGAACGATTGAGATGAGACTAGTTGAGCTTTGAAAGATGAAAGCTAGGTTTGAAATGAATAACGTCAATGAAAAAGCATTAGAACAAAAGATTGAAACAGATGTTTACAAGTTGAACAAAGTCATTTCAAGCAATATGATTTGAAGAACTAACAAGAACTAATATATTGCCGAAAGAATATTATAAGAATTTGTGTTCTCATGAGGTACACCAAGTTGATATTATTTACGCATGATACATCAATCTAAATGACTTCAAGAGAGTTTATAAGATTTAAGAGTTTAAGTTCATTCAAAGCTGAACCTTTTCAAGTACACACTGCAGAACAAATGAGCTATGTCATCAAAAGAGGACAAAATAAAGATTGTGTATATACTCATTGAGTGATTTTGAGAGCCACCCATTGCATACACTCAGTTATAATAATAAATCTTGAAAGATCGAGATAACTGTTGTGCTAGTTACTGTGAGTTTGCTATATAGTTAGGCGCAGTTGGCTTACTCATTGCAGCATTAGAAGGTAAAAGAATACTTACGTTACAGAGGCTCTATGATAAAAGAATATTCAGTTGTTGTAGCCTGGAAAGACTCAGCTGTAAATAAAAATCTCAAATCTAGTGAAAAATCTCAAAAGTAAAACTAATGCTGAAAACTGGACATTGCCCATTTGATTTAGGTTGAACGAGTATAAATACATGTCAAATACATTGTGTTAAGCTCTCTTCCCTTATCATGTTAATTTTACTTGGGAATTGGGATATATGTACACATCTACCGAGTGAGTTTATATAACATTCAAATCAACCTATTCTTGCGCATTTGTCAACTTCAAATATACCATCACAATTAAAAAAAAAATGAAAAGGTAACAGCACATTCAACATTGCATTGCTAGAATCTTACTGCCTTATATTATAGGCAAGAATATCACCTCTTAACTTCTTATGGGAATGAAAAAGAATAATCAATTAAGGTCTTTCACCCTCATTTTTGTGGCTTTTCATCTTTAAATTCAATAATGTCTAGTTAGTTACAGATTGCATCAATATTATTTAGTAGGGCAGAATATTCTTACACCGGTGTAAGAGTTAGAAGTCTTACACTCAATCTTGACTATTGATTCACTTGTATCCAATGACTCACATTACTACAAAATTAGAACCCTTAGGTATAAGTGAAATCAAAAGACAAGATTTTAAGAGTGTAACTTACACTGATGTAAAATGATCTTGACCCTATTTAGTAAGAAGAAGTTTACAACGATTCCGATCCAAAATTTTATAAAGAAAGGGCAAAGGTGTTCAGAACATTAAGACAAAGGAATACACATAGCTCAATTAACACCCAGCCACCATCCTATCAGTTTAGATCATCAGAGTTCAATTAGAGGGCTCAGGTGTTGGCAAACAACAGAACAGCCTCTATTAACATGCATGAACTGACTATGATATTTATACAGTAGCACAACGAGTCACTGCTAAAACCCCATGAAGAAGGACACTTTATATCAGCACACCTGCACGTCATATGGCCATATCATTCTTCCACGTGCTATCATATACGTGGTAGAAATATGAGAAAATAAAGGCACAACATCTGAGAGGAAAAATAAGCATTAAAATAAGCCAATTTCTTTCATAAACTATCAATGGCCATTGTTTGCTAATCCTAACTATCACTGGACCAAATACTTAAATTGCCACCAAGAGAAACCCTGTCCCTACCGACGAATACATTTCTAATAAACAAAACCCATTTTTGCATTTTCAAAATGCTGAACTGAAGCAGTTCAGGACCTACGTGCTATCAAAAACCAAATACAAGAAGAGATGAGAGAACAAATTAAAATAAGGCACTTAAAAACAAATCACTTTCAATATAAACTTCAATGGTCAACAGTTTGCAAATCCCTTGAATCATAATACTAAATATTTACATATTTACATTACCTTGAGGAGAAGCACTCCTCACTGTGTATGAACTACAACAGCTACACTCAAACCCATTTAGCAAATTTTTTTTTTTTTTTTTTGGGGGGGGGGGGTTTATAAAAGCACACACTCTTGAACAAAATTTTGTTCAAGGAGCTGAAGAGGCCATCAGCTCATAAGACAATTCAAGAAAAAACCAACCATAAAAAATTCAAGCAGTGCTTTGAGCCATGAAAAACCTTAACCAAACCCATATATTCATCGTCACAACCAACATCGACAACTCCTCCATCTTCATCAAATCATTTATCAGCACCTAAAAATGTGCATGCAACTGCAATTGCAAAAATCAACAACTACACATACATAAGAGAGAGAGAGAGGGTGGATTTCAAATTTCAAGAAGAGCAACAATTAGGACACCGAATCAAGCCATTCTCATTACACTCCAAACATCTCTTCATCAACCCTTCATCCTCATCAAACAACTTCCTACTCCCACTGCAATTCCCACAAGGCACAAACCTAACATCCCCACAAGTCTCACACACAAACCCAGCCTTTGTCTTTGGGAACCCTTCTAGAATCTTCCCCAACTCACCAACCTCACACAGATGCTTAATAACATCAACACCCCCAACATGAACCCCCCTTATAAAAACCTGAGGTAATGCCACTGCCACGTTATTGTTCTTGTTCTTCTCACCGAACACACTCATCAACTCCTTCTTGTAACAAGAATCCATAGACACGTCTCTCTCATCAACCCAAACCCTAAAACCCCTCAATATACTCCTAACCGCGTAGCAATCCTCGTAGGTCCTTCTAATCCCTCGTAAACTCGTGAAATACAACACGATCCGATCCTCCGTGCCTGGCAATCGAATGCCACTAGATAAAGAATCGAGTAATTTCGTGGATTTTGGGTTATTGGGGAAAAGTGGTTCTTCTGAAGAATCTGAATTGTCGATTGATTTCGTGGGTTTGAGCTTATTGAGAAGAAGCGATTCTTCAGAAGAAGAAGCAGGTTTTGGGGATTCGAAGAAACTGCAGAGCTTCTTGACGACGTTGCCGCGTATGGAATACGCGCGTTCGAGGTTCGATGGTTTTTCCTTGTTGTTGTTGGAGTGAATCGAGGTGAGCGAGCGATTGAAGAACGGAAACTTAAACGACGACGTGTTGTTGTTGTTGTTTCCACGTTCCGCCATCGACCCTGTTAACAAAGAAACCCAAGAGTTTCAATCTTTGAAGCTTAATCCAAATTTCACAAGGTAAATAAAGCGATTATTTAATATTTAAATATTTATTTGTGTTACCTTGAGAAAAGAGGGAAGGGGCGGTGGGTGGTGGTGGTGGTGGTGGACGAGGAGGAGGAGGAGGGAGGGAACTTGGGCGGTGGTTGCTTTTTTTTGTGTGGGTTGTCGTTCTGAGGCTAGTGTTTTTGGTTTGGTTGTGTCAGTTTGGGTGTCGTTGGAGCTGTTATGTTTTCTGCGTTTTGATTTTGCAGGGAGAGAGATTGTTGAGGTTTTGAGGGAAATGAAATTGAAATGTGTTTTTGTGGAGGTGGGGAAAGAGAGAAGAAGATGGTTGTTCGTTTCTGTTGGTTTTGTTTGATTTCTAGAAAGAAAGACGGAGAGAGAGAGAGAGAGAGAGTCGTAGCTATGAAGGCAAGAAGTTGTACTTTTGCATAGACTTGTAAGCAAAAACTAATGATCGTGCATTTATGTATGGAAAAATATAAAACATGTGACAAGAAAAATATTTATAATTATGTATAATTAATTTACAAGAATAAAATTAAAAATTAAAAATTAAGAATTAAGAGTAGGATAATGTTATTATTACCAATCAATTTTATCGTTAGATCAATTATGTTGATTCAATGGTTATATTTATTTTCATCTTTGTATGGTTATGATTTCTCATATTTAATATTTTATATTTATTTTCACCTTCATATGGTTATGATTCTCCATATTTAATGTGAAAAAAATAAATATGACCGTTAGATCAACATAATTTATCTAACGATAAAATTGATTGATAGTAATTCTAATTGGTTGTTATAATATCCTACCTCTAAGAATTATATACATAATTTAATAAAAAAGATTCGACTAAAAAGTTAAATTAACGATATATATAACTTAAATATATAAAAATGAAGTATTTTAGATTAAGAAGGCAAATTTAATATTATAGAATGTAAAATAAATTAATTTAAAAATATAAGTAAGAATTTGAAAAAAAAAAATTACTTTTAAAATAATTATTTAAAAAATAAATCAGAGATATTTTTTGTTTGAAAAATAAAAAATAAAATTAAATCTGGGGTTCAATTATGATAAAGTACCTCACGAGGACTTAATTTTATTGAATATAAGTAAATTAAAGGATTAACCCAAAAAAGTGATTTAGTTTCCTTTCATAGAAAGCAATGAGTGCTTTTCCATACATAGGGAGAGACTAGCGAGTGTTATAAGAAAACAAATTAAAGAATATTTGATATAATATTAAATGTTTATGATTAATTAATAAAACTTTAACTGTCTTTATATTTTCAATATTAAATGCTTCTGTTTAGTTATTTATTATTTTCAAATCCTTAATAACTTTATTATCTAAAATCTTTTGCACATTGCAATATAACTATAAAAACACTCGACAATAAATATTTTTTATTGATGTCTTTAAAATTTGCAATATCCTATATTCTTTTTCTGATTCATGTCATTTTCTCTTTTCTTCTCCCTCGAGGCTTCTGTGACCTTTCCTGAAACTCAACTCACTAGCTAATTTTCTCTTAAATAAATAAAAAAATAAATAAAAAATATGACCATAGCCCATAGGCCAAGTGATAGTATTGGACTTTTTGGGATGACAGGCAAGGCAACATGAGAAATTGAAAATGCAACCAAAGCAACCGACTTTTTGGGCGTCCTCTTTGTGTTGTGGAATGGGGACAAAGTGTGAGGTCAGTCCCCACCGTCCTCTTTTTTGAGTAAAAGGCTAAAAGCACGCTCCATAACCAATTTGTTTTTCTTTTTAAAAAAAGAAAATATCAACCAGTGTTTTATGTTAACCGTTCCTATCAATCCGATTGGAATTTCAACTTTTTCATCCTCTTTGGAGTTGTAATTCTTATAGATAAAATTCACTGTTCTTTAATACGTTAAATTCTGAAATTTAACTAAATCGTTACTAGATCAATAACTCTTATTTTCGGATAATTAAATGGTACTTTACAAATTTAATTTTTTATATAATTTTATTATGATATATTCTAATAGGGAAATGTACTTTCTCTTTTCACGGAAGAAAAGATTTTTTTGGATCAACCAATTACAACTATCTCTTATTAGTAAGACATAGTTGTAATTTTAAAAGCTATTTTTTTAGACTGTGTTGACGTAACCGAAAAAAAAAACAACTTTAATATTATAATTATTGTTATGAATTTGACAAAGGCTCACATTCTTAATGGTTAAGAGAGAATTAAGAAAATATTTCTTAATATACTAATTCTAGTACGACAGCAATGGATAATCGTACTACGATAATAATGGATCAACAACTGGATCTCCTATATTTTTAAGAGGACCAAGAGTCCATTTCTGCTAGATAACTCATCATAAATAAGGGATTAAGCCAATAAAGTACACACATTCTAAATCATCTCTCTGAGCTATTACTGTGCACATACCCCACATCTCGACTATGTCGTTATTATTGTGCACATCTGCTTATCATCAAAGATATCTCCTTTATAGATACTGAGAGAGAATATAGATTTGATATTAATATACCAATTTTTGATTAGACACCTTTGTTATTCATAGAACATTGATGCGGTTAATGGAAAAATTCGGTAAGCTTTGATTCCCACTAATGGTGAAGACACAACAACTATCATCGCGACCAGACCCATGGATGATAAGCATTTCGGCCAAAAGGGAATTTTGCATATCAATTCTCGGTTATTGCACTGCTTGGCACATGCTTTTGGAGCAAATATTCTCAGCCCATGAGTTAGCCATCAAGGAAAGATAAGTCGATTCAATCATGGGCGTTTGGTTGAGGAGAAATTTTTAGAATAATAGGGAAATGTTATTGATAGGGAAATGGCGTTTGGTAGGAAAATGTAAAAAAAAGTTGTTTGGTTGTAAAAATATTTACCGGAAAAATTAGGTAACATTTATAAAGTCTATATTTGGTTGTAGGTAAAATATAAATAGGGAAAAAATATGATATTACAAATATAACCCTGTTTTAAAAGTTGAAATGATTCCATCAACGAAAAAAAAGTTGAAATAACCTTGTCAGCCCCAACGACCATATGTAAAAAAGAGTTGGAACTGGCAACGACCATATTTTAAAAAAATAAAAAATTTCTGTGTCTTTGGAAGTGAGCTGTCCAGGTTTTTGGCTCAGAAACCATAACAAGGGGGACGTCAAGACTGGTTCCAGACACTCATCCAACGCATAGAAAGAAGGCATACGGTTTTTTCTGCATTGCATGGGTGTTGGAGACGTTAGGGTTCGACTTGGAGAGGTATGGTCTTCGATTTTTGTTCTATTTGGTTATGGGTTTCGTTGTTGTTGTGGTCCAAAAATGGTGATCGCTCTTTGTTCTATTTGGATATGGGTATCATTGTAGACGTTAGGGTTCGACTTCAGTGAGGTAAGTCATCTTCATGTACCATGTTTTTCTGTTCAGGTTGTACGAAGGAAGCATTCAGATTTTCCCCTTCTGATTGGCGAGAAATATACATTTCAGCTGGACGAATAGCTGTTTGTGGAGGTAAATGAACAGGGAAGACATACAATTTAAATGGTTATGTGAGATATTGTTGGATTACCACTATTGTTATGCTGAAAAGAAGTACAAAATTAATTACGCATACAATTTAAATTTATGAGTGTACCTTGTTATTTTTCCAGTAATTGAAAGACTTAACATTGTTGGAATATCTTTGTTGAAATTGTTTTCGATTTGACTATATACATTTGTGTTGGTTTGTTGGCTATAAGTTTAACTTAAGTGGCGATCTTTCTCATTCTTCTTACGGCAGTAACCAAAATACACAGTGCGTCGTGGGAGGAGTCTTGGAAACGAGTATAATACAACCATTGACGGAAGCATAGGTGGATGTGGGTCTGGCATAGGTGGAGGTGAAAGCGTCATTTCGAGGCATTCTTCGTCCTTGTCCCCTTCCAGGATGAAGAAGTGCTATTGCGGAGTGCCGGCTGCGTTGCGAATGTCTCATACACCAAGGAATCCGGGAAGACAATTTCTTCGATGTCCTAATTCCAGAACACAGCATGATTGCCATTTTTTGAGTGGTTTGACGAACCGAGTTGCTGTAGTTGTATGAAGTTTGAGAATGCTATGAAATTACAGAGTGTTTTGCTTATTGTAATTGTTATAACATTTGGGATCATCATTATTGCAATGTTGATATTTCGTTGACTTGTATTGTAATGGGTTGCTAAATGTGTTGCATTACCACATGTGTTGTTATGTTGTGTGGAGTTGTTATTTAGGGGAACCATCGACGTGGATGTTGTAGACGTAGGATTTAAATTTTTGGCACTTATTTGTACTTTTGGTTTCAGTTGACAATATTGTGTATCATGTTTGTATGTTACATATGTTATCTATGTATGGCATGAAATGTTGATGTAGTTATGTTTGTGTTGTATGTTACTTTATATCCTACTATGCACATTGCTTTGCATTCGTTTTTGACAGATTGTGTTAGGTGCCGGTTGGTTTGAGTCATTGCAAGACCAATATACTGATGTCTATACTTCACAGTGAGATAGGTGATCCTCAATATTCAGGTCATAGTTCTCAGCTAAGTTTACATCAGGCTCACCTCTTTGATCAGCTAAAGTTTGGTAATCATATGAACATAATTTCTTAATTGATCATGTTGATTTTAATGTCCAAGGTATAGGAAAGACTAAGACCACATTGTCACTGGCCTGTTCTTCTTATTCTTCTTCTTGTCATTGTCTCTCTTTAATGACAATTAATATGTTTTGATAAAAATGTAAATGTTGTTTGCATTGCATTGATACATTTTGATTTGTAGCTTTTAAATGAAACTTTAGGGAAGGCATTTAGTTATATAGTTAAACCAGTTATTTTAATAATGAGTGAAAATATTACCTTTCATAAGATACTGACTATAATTTCCCTGTTGTGATTTGGCATTGTTCTCAATAAAACCTTAACTAAGTCGTGATTCGGCATTGTTCTCAATATCTCAATATTATTTTCAAAACTGATAATGATAGAGTGTTTTTACTTGATGGTTACTGTCAGTGAAGCTGAGGTCATGGCATGAATTGTATAGGTTGTTGAGCAATTCAAATACTGAAGATGGTCTCATTCACAGAGGTGAGTTAGTTCAACTATGGCACTGTTGGGGAGTCTGCTTTATTGTTTCAACTTCAACACATGGGAATGGTCATTTTATTAGCCAATAAATCAACTGTCTCCAAATTTTGTTTGGAATTAAATGTGAATATCGTATATCCGTAGACTTCACCTCTGCTTTGTCCCAATATGTTAGCATTATATCCTTCTATGAATGTCACTTAGCTCATGTAAATGTTAAGACTCGAGAATGCAAGGTTATCCCTATTAACAGGTCAGCAATATGGTTTGTCTA